ATCTTTTACTTTTCTGTCAACTTCTTCTCAATCTTCCATTCTTCCGTGATTTCTTCCTCTACAAATCTTCTATTTCAATTCCTTCTTGTTTTGAATTTCCAAATTTTTATTAATTCTGATTTTTTTTAAAGTATATTATTTTTCTGAAAATGCCATAGTTGATGTTTAATCAAACACTATATGTAATAATGTCACTTTTATTACATTACATTTGCTAAGGTGTCAGTTTTGAAAATGGCAATTCCAAAGAGTAGTAATGTCATCCTCTTGACATTTTTGAAACAAAAACATGTCATTTTCAGATTAAAATATGACATTTTCACATTAAAAATTATGACATTTTCATATTGATTAATGACATAATCACATAACAAAATGACATTTTAGAATAAAAAATGTGAAATATGAGAAAAAAAAAAAAGAAAAAGAAAGAAATAATATGCTGATAAATTCAATGCCACAAAAATTTCATAATCTGCAAAAATTTTCAAAATCTTGGCATTTTCAAACACGTAACACTGTCATCTACCAAAAAATTGCCATAATGTGGCATTTTTTTTACAAGTTCATAAAGATACGTCATCACAAGAATTCAGATCGAAATCATTTCAAACAACAGTTGCTGGAGCCTCGAATTTTCTTATCCAAAAGTTCTAAATTTAAATTTTCAAGTAAAAACAATAATATTTTCATTTTGAATCTAAAAAATTAACAAAGAAATAACAAGAAAATAATCTAAAATACAAGAGGAGAGGTGAAGTAGAAGGAACTCAAGGAAGGAGAAGAAAAGAGGGAGGAGAAAAAGAGGAAGAAAGGAAGGAGAAACACTTTATCTGGACACATGTCGACCGGAACAGATGCTGCGGACATGGCCCTCCTGAGTAGATTCAATGGCACCTTACAATAAAGCTTCCACTGCTATGCAATTCGATCCCTTCCTTTGTAACAAGTGTCCAGTCTTTTCTAGAGAGCTCTGGGGCAATTGATGCAGAAGAGATGAGCGGAAGAGGATTTGTCGATGCGGAAGAGAAGGAGCGGAAGAGGAGACGACGAATTTAGAGATTTAATTAAAAGGGTAGAATGGTAATAGGGAGTCCTATTTAGGAAATATAAAACGTTAAGTCCTATTGTGGAGTTTTTAGCATGTTTTAATCCTATTTAGGATAATAAGTTAATAACATTCTAAAATATTGTGCGGGATTACAAAATTAACATAACACGAATAAAGTGGGCCAAAATGGTACTAGTAACAATTTATTAAACCACATGGGTATAATGCTCTTCAATTACGAAATATGCTACCATTTGACTAATAGTTACTTTAATTATGCAGTGAATAACTATCGATATACTCAAATAGAAACTACTAGATTCTTTACTCACGGGATGCATATGTTATATGTTTAACTATGTCATTAGATGACGGTGGGAATCTAATGAATAGTTTAACTAACTCGGATTTACATATGTTAAAATTTTGGGTTGGATTTTTCAGAACACAAAGTTCGATAAAGGCTGGATCACTTCATACTAACAAAAATACTTGTCATTAGATATATAAATATTTTGTTACGTATTTGTGTTCATAGAATATAAATACAAAGGATCTTAGCAATTGAGGAACACTAAAAATGTTACTGATCAGTCTTTTGTAAACATCCAATAAGCAAAAACATTAATTGATAGTATACCTTTAAAAATCAAAATTTTCACATTATAATTACTAATTGCTAATTATTAATTTACACATTATTGTTTAGAGAAAATGAGTATGACATCATTAAATGTCTGATTGTAGGGAAACGCAAGCTAAACCTTGTTATTTTATATTATTCTAGAAGACTATTATTATTATGATTATTATTAATATAACTATTATTATTAATAATATAACTATTATTGTACTGCAAGACAATAATTATGATGTTTTTAATTAGACTAAAGTTTTATGATAAGGTTCATTTAAATTTGTTCTGATGACCTAAACCGATCTGGTCTGGTAGTTGTTGGATGTAAGTATATTTTACTTACTTATTTTGATCCGATCAAGTCTATTTTATTTAAATTTGATCTGATTTGGGGTAGTTTCACTTAATCTGATCTGTTCTAGCTTACAATTGAAAACATTCATATCAAAATATTGTAGCACCTTCAAATTAAAGTAGTGAAGGTGCTACACTTTGTTACTTTATATTATGGAAAATGGAAACTAATAATCCAATCTTTTAGCGGTCTTCTTTTAATAGTCCCACCTTTTTGTTATTCATGAATAATCCAACCTTTGCACCTCATCTTCATTCACTGGTCTCTGACCGGTTGATGACATGTTATTCCAAGTTATTTTCTTATCTTTGCTAAATATTATCTTTGTGAAAGGTGGAATTTATGGTATAATAGTTTGCAGAGATAAGAAAATAACTCGGAATAGCAAGTCATCAACCGATCGGGGACCAATGAATGAAGATGTGCAAAGGTTGGATTATTCATGAATAACGAAAAGGTCGGACTATTAAAGGAATGCCGCTAAAAGGTTGGATTATTAGTTTACATTTTCCCCTTTATATTATTATAGATTATAGATAAATAGATTTTGAATTAAAAATATTCCAATTACTCCAATATTCATGTAACTCTTATTTTTTAATGGGTAGAAGCATTAAGGCCGGGTTTGGAAAACGGCGCTTCCGCCAATTTTTGGCTGGTTTGACCGGATTTGGCGTTTTGAAGTCCTGAAAAAGCCGAATTTAAGTGTTTGGTAGTTAGCGGATTGATTTAGCAGTTTGGGCCGAAACGCCAAAAATTAAAACGCTGCAAAACCCAGCGTTTAGGTTTCGGCGTTTTCATATACGTAATAATTCTCAAAGCTGCCCTTCCATATTCCTTCGACGTTGCTATCCATAACCGCAACTGCAGAGCTCCAAAGAAGAACATCGCAGCTCCAATTTGTTTTGAAGGTATGCCGTACACATATTTGTAATATATGAGCAATTTAAGCATAATTCCTCCTATTACATAAGAATGGCCATTCATTCATTATCCTGCATCAACAAAAAGAACAACATGCAAATATGCAATTGCGATTTCATTCTGCTGAATCCACAAAAAGGCATGCGTCATATATAAGAGAGACGTGTCCATCATGCGTAGAGCCTCTAGAAAGTACTCATAGTGGTACTCCTTAATTGATTTTTTGGTAAACCGTAATTGATTTTTTTTTATTAAAAACCAATATAAAATTATGATAGGGGAGAAAATCAAATAAAAATATATAGATATAGATAAAACGAAAAAATCAGGCATATAGCAATGCTTGAGTTATAAAATTATACGTAGCATTAAACAACAACAAAACACATACCAAAACGGACCAATGTCCTTTTTTATCTTTTTATGTATTAACCGCTAAAATTAAACAACTAAATTACCAAACATCTTTCTGCAACCCGCCACGTTAATCCGCTGGTCAAATTCGCTGATTCAATCCGTTATCTACAATCCGCTAACACAATCCGCTAACCGCTAACCGCTGATTGCCAAACACGCCCTAAATGTCTAATTGGAGAGAAAAGCAAGATGCTACACCTAGTTACTTTATATTATTATAGATTTTGAATTGAGAATATTTCAATTACTCCAATATTCATGTAACTCTTATTTTTTAATGAGTATGAAGCATTAAATGTCTAATTGGAGGGAAAAGCAGGGTGTTACACCTTGTTATTTTATATTATTATAGACAGATGTTCATGAATCATGAGGTGATAATATACTTTCTTCTAAATTGAAAATTAATATCCAAATCAACAAGGGAAGAACAAAGTTTTAGTGGAGTGATATGTCCTAGTTGGATACTTGGATCCACGTCGAGTGGTGGGCCAGTGCCTATAACGATCGAGATATTTGGGCATTTTTGGGCGTACTAATATTGCATTTTTCAAGTCGGACAAATTGTGAATGTACATAAACCTTTTTCGTTTTGTAAGAGAAACTATTTTTCACACCGACAATTTTCTTTGTCTATGGTACAATTAAAAATCTTTCTTTGGTGCAAAAAGCAATTTTCGCACTGACAAATAAATGGCTAGTTTTACATGCGACCAATAATGTTATTAACAAGGTGATAAATTTGAAAAGAACATGATGCCACTGCCATATTTCACTCTCTCCGTCACATTTTAAGGATCTCGTCCATTATTCTCCGATCAACGTGATTGTTCTTAATCTTTTACTATATATATATTTAACTTTTATCAAATTTATTTTTTCTTGACCAGGTATTATAAAACTTTTAATGTACTTTGTAAAATATGTAAATTTTATTTACTGAAAATAATCTTATTAATTACAAGAATCAGTTAACTTTATGATCAGTCAAACATTGTAAACTACGTGAGAACCTTTAAGTGGGACAGAGGGAGTATAATACTACCTCAGTCTCGAAAACAAGTTTCCGAGTTGACTTTCACGCATTTTAAGGAAATAAAGTTACTTAGGGGTAAATTTTACTGCTTTGACACTGTTTCGACACTGTTTGACATTGTTTGACACTGTTTTCCACTGTTTTAACGTAGATTATTTGTCAAATAAGGAAGTGGGAAGTTTATTTTGAAACATCCAAATAAGGAAAGTGAGAACTTGTTTCCGGGAAGGAGGGAGTATTATTGTAAGTTTGTAACATGAGTTAGTGGTAAAATAATAACTACATGATCACCACAGGTCACTGTACATTAAGGAAAGGGTCATTGCACAAGTGCACACAGCACATATAGTCATATAGAGGTCACATGCTTGTCCATCGTTCTTATTTTAGTGATAAGTTTGAAAGTATTTCAGATCAAGTAGTTTGCATATAATCCATCCAATTGTTGTTTAAGTTTGCTGAGCTTGTAGCTAAACATGATGTATAACTACTTGATCATTATGTGCAAAATTTGCCATTATTCAATAGAATTCAGAGCAGCCTTGCATTGCTGCTCCAATCACAATTACAAAATACAGCAGTCAAAAAGAACAATGGACAAGAATGTGACAAATGGAATAAGAATTCAAAATGATGAACTGGCACTGCACGCGTTCTTTAGCTCGGGAGGTGAAGCCATGGATGAGTATATGGGGTGAAGCACATGCCCGTCTTTAGGCAACACATAGACCCACTTGCGTCCAGTCAGCTTGTTTCGCTCAAACTTGACACACCCTTCTTTCAATGTGAACAATGTGTGGTCTTTGCCAATTCCAACATAATCCCCCGGATGGAATCTGGTTCCTCTTTGGCGAACAATGATATTCCCTGGAATCACCCTCTGCAACAAAATAGCAGTTAAGCAACCAAAACACATCTTCTGGTATGGTGGGTGGGTGTTGGGTATACAACAACAGCATCCAAGCCTTATTCCCAAATGATTTTGGGGTCGGCTAACATGAATCGATGCATGATATCAAAGCCAAAACGAGAAGATAGACAAGAAAAATAAAACATAAGGTAAGACAAAATGGATAAGACAGTGTCTGTTGCGTATGGCGTACCACAATTTTAGACCTCAAAACCGACCCTAAAACTTTGGGGCATCTCAGATACAGTGTTATCAAAATTCGAAATTTCAAAATTCATTAAATTTTCATCTTTGTAAAAAAATTATAAAAGTTCAGTAAAATACAGAAGTAACAAAATTATACCGATAGTATGTAAGACGAACCATTGTTTTAAATGGTTATTTGTATATTATATACTGCGCTACAAGGTTCAGGTTTCGAGCTCGAGGTATTTTGATAAACCCAAAACTCAACCTACATTTTCATTATTTTAAAAAAAAACTTTCGGCGGGTTTGATTAGTGGTTATTTGGAGCTGATACAAATTTTGAGAATTTCAAGTGAAACCACAAAAAAGGGCTTGGATCTGAGCCATTCCAACCCTAACATTGTCGGCAATAATCTAATCAATCTCCATTCTTTTCCATAATTAAATTCTCACCTCTCCGCCAAATTTCTTCACCCCGAGATTCTTAGGTTTTGAGTCACGTCCATTTTTTGTGGATCCTGCTGTCTTCTTGGTAGCCCAACGCCTTAGTACTAAGCTCAGTCCCTCTCCGGATGCATCTAAGTCATGAAAAAGAAAGTACTGCTCCATGTAAACATTATTATGAATTAAAAAATCCCTTCAACTGAAGGATCATAAGACATCATGAGAGATTCATACCCTTGCCACAACTGTAGAGAGATGGACTTGATACCAAATTTCTGAGATTTAACCTCCTGAATAGTGTTGTGATATTCATGATTCTCTTTGCCAAAATGAAACCTGAAGCAATAAAATTGTGTGTCTGTTAGAGACATGGAGGATGAAATGAAAAATGAAAAAATAAACAGGAAAACCAACTTTAGAAAAGAGTACCTCTTTATTTTTCATTAATCTATATAGTCTATAGAATATGACCTACTATAGGAGGTTATTTTTTTAGAATAACCAAAAAAAACTTGATTCCGGGGATAATTACGCAGATCCACATATCCTTTCATATTTGTAAATGAAGTCTGAATATGATTTTAGAACTCGTTATGCTCTTTCCAATAAGATATAAAATGCTCGAAAATAAAGCACATACCAACCCTCTAATGTTTTACAAATGAAGTCTGAATAAGAGTTTTAGAACTCGATATTATCTTTCTAACAAGATATAAAACACTTGAAACGGAAGAACATATTCCACCTATTTATTATTTATTATTATTATATAAAAGCAAAAGAAATTTCCTACAGTGTTCCCGCCTAACAGATTCAACTGAATTAATACCCCTTAACCTAGTGAAAAAACCACAAAAACATGAATAACTATTATATAAAACTATAAAAGCAAAAGAAATTTCCTACAGTGTTCCCGCCTAACAGATTCAACTGAATTAATACCCCTTAACCTAGTGAAAAAACCACAAAAACATGAATAATAGTGAAAAAACAAGACGGCCATGTTCTGTGTGATATCACGCAGCTGCTTCTTGAGCTATGTGCTAGGCTATGATATCACATCACCATGAATGTGGAGGCACAAAAACACCATAAACTCCCCCTATAAATTGTAGCAAAGTTTTGCCAAATGAGCGCCACCAAAGAACCCTTAGAGTCAAAAAACAATATGAAATCTACAAATTGTACATTGTTCATCAAGAAAAAAATGCCTTTACGTTTGGTCTTAAAAGCTTCAAGATTGTTGATGTAAAATAGCAAAAATAAAAACATAGCAACTATTGTATTAGATTTCCCAACTATTGGTCTTAAAAGTTTTCAGTTTTCATTTCCTGAATTCAAACCAATGAGACTAACAACAACTAAACAATATGTAAAAATCACAAGAAAGATTTACATTATTACTGAATGTAAATTGTAAATTAGTACAATGGCAGATAGGCTAAAGCAAGAAAGAGTAAAAGACAACATAAAAAAATACAAGGGCAGCTACTTAGCAAGACCCCCTGGAGTAAAAAAAAAAAAGCAAGCCATAGAAAGAGTAAAAGCCAACAGAAAATAACAAGGGCAGCAATCAGCAAGCCATCAATCTAAAAGACTAAAACAACAGTTAGAATTCAAAAAAAAAAAAAAAAGAAAGTCGAATACTCATATTCCTTTCCTGAAAATCGGAAAATCCATACCTTAAATTCCAGAAAGAATCTGAACTGAATAAATGACAACAAAACTGAAAGTAAAATACTGAAAATCTGAAATACATGCCTCCAAATAGGAAACCAGCGTCCAGAGAGGCATTCAGGCAGAGACTCAGTCACTCAGAGTCAGCAACATGCCGATCACGGCGCATTGCGCAGCCGACGCAGGCAGGGAGCCGGAAGGGGAACTTCTCAAGCGGCTGAAGTGGTGGGGAACAGGCGATTGGACGAAGAGGCTGGAGCAGCCAGTCAGCCGCACGCGTCAAATCGTAGAGGAAGATGAGGACGGTCGATCGACGATTACCGATGACGACGATGAGGGGTTGAGGTCGCAGCCCGCAGGTCAATGAGGTCCGTGAGGATGATCAGGCGAGGCAGCTGACGGTGCAGGTATGCGAAATTATTTTACTTTAAAAAAATGTATGTAGTGTTTAACAGAATTGAGTATCTACTTCACGAGGAATGATGCTGTCCAGCGGCCCCAGTCCGAACGCCGTCCGAACATGGCCATTTGGTGGAATTTTTTTATTAAATTTTTTAAGCATGTTTCTGATCAATTCTAGTTTGTCCATACCAAATTTCAGCTCAAAATTCGATCCGAAAGGCATTCAAATCATTTTTTGAAGTTGACTGCGTCTAAATATCAATATAAAAATGCAGTCAACTTCAAAAAAATGATTTGAATGCCTTCCCGATCGAATTTTGAGCTGAAATTTGGTATGGACAAACAAGACTTGATGAGGAACATGCTCAAAAAATTTCATCAAAAAATTCTACCGGGAACCACCCCAAACGGCGGTGTTCGGACGGAGGCTCCCGTCCGAACGTTCGGACCTGAACATTCTTGTCTACTTCACTACTAATAAAAGGTAGATTATTCTCAATTGAAATTGAATTTTATTTAAATTTTTATTAAGTCCAATTATTAAAATTAATATTTTCAGATTTTGCCATTAAATTCATAATTATTAACTACTTAATTAAATGTTCATTAACATTGTATGATTATATTAATTAAGCTATTAATTATAGATAATTAATAGCCTTCGAAAAAAGATTACTCCTAAAAATATACGTACTCATGCTGATTCAAAATGCTATTAATTTACTAATTAATTTCATTTAGAAGACATAAATATTGTTAATTGATCATATTATACTTTGATATGCATAGAGCATAAACAAGTTTTAAGAAATATTGGTAGTTTTCATATTAAAATTAATACAAGGTGGTCTCTCCCTCTCTAGGGTTTTGTTCTTCCGGTTTCATCATTGACGAAGAGCGGCCGGTTGTGGATTTTGGTCATGCAAGCAGGCTCGTGATCAGGGATGTAGCGCTTTGGCGGTCGTGGCTTGTCTTCCGTTGTTGTTTCTGATCGAGGGGCGAGGGTAGATAAAGAAAAGGCAGATAAGTTGTGGCGGAGCTTGGGTTCGGTTCAACAGCAAGGGATATGAATGGAGGATATCGTCAATCACTACAAAAGCATGACTATTGAGGCGGATGAACGGCGGGCTCGTCCCCCTCCCGAGCCGCCGCCATGGAATGTAAGAGAGTCTAGGGTTTGGAAGAAGATGAATGAATTTTCGTTTAATTTTGTTTTATTTTGTTTGTGTTTTTCTTTCAAATTGCATGTTGTTTTGAGTGTGTTTTTATTTCCTAGTAAAAAGTTTCTAGAGTTTAGGTCAGGTGATGAGAAGTCTGGTTTGCCAGTCATTGACTCAGTTATTGCTTCTACAGAGGTGATGGATCTGAGCCTGGTTCATGGGCGGATGACAGACAAAAGGCTTTTTATCGTTTTGTTTCCTGCTTTTTCCCTGATTGTATTGTTAGTCAAATGACGAACGTTTTGTTGATTTAATATATTTGTTGGATTTACGATTAAAAAAAAATATTACTATTAATACTAAGTCCACCTAAAATATTTAACTCTTGAAGATGTCAGTCAAGCACCTTGTGGTTCGATGGCATCAGTGTGACACTCCCAAGGAGGAGGTCACAGGTTCGAAATTCATCCTAGTCAAGGATGTTGGCATTTAACATTGAAGTATTGAACATATACTAAAAAAGAGACTAGAAAATCCAACAAAAAAAACTCTTGAAGATGCCACATATACATTTGACTAAATTAAACCTATTATAACTTATTGATGAAATTAAGACTACTATTAATATTTTCGAAACTAATCCCTTTCTTATCTAAAACCCCTAATAAATATACCAATTTTTCTATGTAATTATACTAAATTCTGCCCCACAAGTAATTTTAAGCATAGCATATTCCTTTGCGTTTATTAAGCATGTTTTGTATTGAATTGTCCTTTTTTATTTTTAAAAACATATACCTCCTCATCTACACTTATAAATAATTAAAACTATTTTCCTTTGCATGTAGTTTTATTAAGACCAACATGCAACTTTAAAGATACAGTACTACTTAATTAAAAAAAAAAACAGCCTTCCCTCAGCGTAGGGTTTGAGACCTTCGCCGATTTTGTGCGGTACAGACGAATGGCGAGCGAAGGAAATCGAAGCGGGAACAGAGAGAAGGCTTTGCAGATGAATTCGTCGGGGCTGTAGGTATCGCAGAGGAAAGAGCGGGAGTACGTGGGAAGGTGTCTCCTCACAGTCGATCGGAGGGCACCATGGCGAGGATGACGAGTTTTGTGCGGCTATGGGGGTAGGGATTGTGGAGAAGCTGACTATGCAGTACGATGGGATGGGTTTGGGCAGTCCGGAGGATGAGCTATTGTTGGATGACGGGGATGAGGCAGTGGCGGATCCAGAAAGTAAAGTTATTGGGGGCATAAGTTAATTTAAAGACCAATCAATTTTTTCTTTTATTAAGATGACCAATTTAATTTAGGATAGATATAATATATAGTAGCGATCATGTTTTTTGTTTTACCTCTAAAGATCATCATGAGTATTTGTATATACACACACCCGAAAAGGGCTTAAGCCTTCGTTCTCACCTGGTAATTTTTTTTGACAAAAGATAACTTCGTTGATAATCATCATGCCAGAATTACACGAGCAATACAATCAGGATACATCCCACCGGGCAAACTTAAATTATTTTTACTTTGACTTATTTCAGTCTCAGATCAGTCTACACTTGAACAAACTAGATCGGACCAGGCAGACTTTAACAAATCGGGCCAGATTTGGACAGTTTTAAAATATATAAAGACTAGACATTTACTAGAACAGACCAAATCACTTCAGACTAGATCAGACGAAGCTGAAACTGACCAGACAAGAAAATTTCAGTCCAAATAAAAACATCATTATAAACATGATAAATTGAATTTAATTAGTGCAATTTGGCATCGAAAGTTTAATACAAGATTAATCTCAAAATCAATTCACTAAGTAACTGTACAATAACTTTATACTAATCTTATCAATTCAAGCTTTTAGTGCTAAATAATCGCTAATGTTTGCATAAAAGGTCTAAAGTGTCAAATGCTATCCCTCTCAAAATACCTTCTAACATTGAAATAGCACATTGATTAATAGTGAAAATTTATAACTTGATTAATGTAGAAAAAGAATGATGAATACTGACTACACAAACTACACAAATTATTCCAGAAGAGGCCCTGAAACAGTAGAAAATGAAGAAAAACTTTTGACACTAAAAAGGGAAAATAGAAAAGAAATTATGAGATAGATTGAATAGTACTTCTACGTTTGCTCATCTTCATTAATATAAAAACATTTTTTCTAATCCGATTGATATTCATTAGTCTACAAGATAAAATGATTACGTTTTTGTCTATGATTTAATTTAAGAACATTTTGGTTCAATTTCATATGAATATTATTTCTAGAGATTACTATGATTTGTTCAAGTAATCTCAATTATATATTTAAATAAGTAACATACTTATAAATTACTAGGTAGAATAATCCATATGATTTTTCTTGTAATAAAAATTTTGTTGGGGGCAATCTAAAAAATTCATTGGGGGCAACCTACGAATTTGATTGGGGGCAAATTTTATTTTTACAATAAATAACCTAATTATATACTAAAATTTTGAACTTTTATTGGGGGCACTTGCCCCCACTTCTCAAGGCATAGATCCGCCCCTGGGATGAGGCGAAGCTCGATCCCGAGGCGGCGGAAAAAGTGGTGGACACCTAGCTTTCCTGTGGTTGGAACGATTCTAACGGATAAAGTGGTCAAATTCCAAGTCTTCCGCGATCTGATGGCGTCTGTGTGGCGTCCGGGCAAAGCATACTGATTCAAGACATTGGGGAGAAGAGGTATCTGTTTACATTTTATCACATAATAGATATGAATCGTGTGTTGGATAATGGACCTTGGTTGTTTGATCAGAACCTGTTAGTGTTAAAAGTCATTAAGCTAGGGGATATGCCTCTGAAGGTACCTCTCCATACGACTGATTTTTGGGTGCAGGTTCACAATATCTCCTATGGTTATTCAAATTTGGGTTATGCTCGTAAAATTGGGAATCATTTAGGAAAATTTATTTCTTGGGATGATAATCAATTTGTTGAGAAGCGGGAAGCCTACATGAGGGTTAGGGTGATGATGGATGTGAGGAAACCCCTAAAAGTGGGGACGACCCTAAAAAAGAGCAAGGGGGGAGGTTATTGGGTAGATTTCAAGTATGAGAAACTGCCTAGCTTTTGTTTTGCGTGCCGCATAATTGGACATGCTAGAAAATTTTGTCCCCTACTGTATAAAAATGGGGATAAGGCGGTTGTGAAATCTTTTGGACCATGGTTCCGGGCGGGTGGAGGGAGATCCGGATCCCGTCCTTTTATGGGTAGTCAATGGTTGGTGAGTGAAGGAGGGGTAGGAAGAGACCAAGCAGGGAGGCAAATAAATCTTGAAGAAATGAAGGATCAGTCACATGAAGGGCGAGTTCCGGGAAGGAGGGGAGGAGGCAAAACTTGAGGGGCTAGAATAAACAGCAACGGAATGGGAGAACAGAAGCGGATGCAGACCTGGGATGTACAGGAGCAGGAGCAGGAGCAATCAGGGGAGGACGTTATGGCTCTGGATGGACAAAAAATAGGGAAGAGGCGTGTTGGAGCACTCAGACCAGCCTAAACCTGTGAAGATCGTGTGCTTCTGGCAGATTGGAGTTATTTTTTACTTTAGACTCGTTTTTCTTTATGTTGGTTTTTCTCTTGGACATCGTATGTTCTTGTTTGCTATTATTTTTATTTTATTTTCAAGACTCTAGAACATAGGACACAAGTGATGGGGAGCCTAGTTTGTTAGTCATTGGCTCAGGTATGCCCAATTCAGGATTAGAGAATCTGGTTTCTTTTTTTGAGGTGACAAGTTCTAAGTCTGGTTCAAGGACAGATGTCTCACCCCAGTGTAACCTTGAACTATTGTATTGCTTTGTCTCTTGTTACTCTCGTTATTAATAAAAATTAAGTCTTCTTCTTTAAAAATTGCATATAAATTATGAAAAATATGATTCAATATGGGAGATTGTATGAACAAATGAGAAATTTTACGATGTCAATAGAGGAATGTGAAGAAACTAGAACACATATTTGACAAACATTATATTTGTATATAAATTTCATTTAAGTGTTGATTATCTAAAGCAACAAATAATGGAGTATTAGAGACGCATATACAGAGCACCATAATCTCACATATCGATGCATCTCATAGTGGTCACAACTTCACCACGAGCTAGTTTTTTTTTAGTTCACCAAATAATTGGGTTTCTATTGATTAGGCAAATAAAGTGCTCTTTTAAAATGATTTTGATTAGTAAGTATGTGATATATTTGATGGAAAAATTCCCTAAATAGAAGTATACCATAAGGGTTTTCTCCAAATATCGATATCTTGTTTCTCCATAAATAACATGCTGAATAGAAGTGTAACATAAGTGATTTCTCCAAATAGAAGTATCATGTTTTCCCCTAAATAAACATAAATATTGTCATCTTAAATCTATAAGATATAACTATGATAGTATAACGATAACAATATAAAGTTAGTATGAGTATGATAGTATGGTTTGAAGATCGATGACACTAGTTTATTCGTATTTAGGAATAAAAGACATAACCTCTTATTTAGGAAAACTATATATCTTTCACTCCTATTTAGTGAAATATTCCAAAATAGAGGGAAGAAAGAAAGCATCGCTTCCTGGTATCACGTGACAACAAATGGCTTTCACCCCACGTCGAAGATGCCATTATTATTTATTCTAGTTTATTCCACTTTAAGTAATGGTATACATGAAAAGTATGGAGAGAAAATATACATCTTGCATAATTATGTGCAAGACACACCACTATGTTGTTTTTGTGATAAGGGGTATACAGTCTTCTCGTATGAGGCTAGAAGTATACGTACAGTAAACATGACACATTCCTCGAGAATCTTACATGAGATAGTAGAATATAGCAATCCAAATGACATATTCCTCAGCTACAAGAGAAATGAATACATGATGTGCTTATGCATTTATGTCATGTAGTATTCAATGGTAACCAAGAGGAGCTGGTGCCTCCTTCAACTCTTTCCCTTGAAAACGTATATCCTGCATGCACATAAATTCAAAGAATAAAATATCAATTACCATCACATCGATTGAAACTACATACTAAAACCCAGAAAACCAAAATGATGCATTCATGCTTACAGAAGCAAAGTGGTTGACATCTCTATGATGTGCTTCGTCGGCACGAATGACGGTAATAACATCCTTTAAAGTTGCATCCTTTGGCAGCCTCCAATAGTCTATTGCAATGGCAGGAGCAGGAACGTTCTCAATCTTCCCGCTCTCTATATCTTTAAGGAACTCTGTGTACGAATGTATGGCCTCCTCTTCCAAGTACCCCACG